TATTATCATATGTTTATTTGTTATTCTATGTTTGTAAAAAGGTAAATAAAGTGAGTTGAGTTTGAGTTATGACATAAAACAGTGCATTCACTTAATTCTTAGTAAAATATTACATGGTGGCAGCGGTTTAGAGCTATGCCTCAGAAGAGAAATCTAAGAAGGAAACAATCTGACTATGAAGATAATGAAAATGAACAAGAACAAAATGAAAGAAGCAGAGAAAATGAATACGAATACAACAATTCAACTATGAAGTCAATCATTGTATCAAACACTCATTCAGTTATTCAACCTCCAGCTAGTTTCTCCTTTGTACCAGCAGATTGGCCAAGATGGAAAACACGATTTCAAAGATATCGGTCAGCATCTGGGCTATCTGAAGAGTCTGAGAACAAACAAATCAACACTCTTATATACACATTAGGTGAGAAAGCTGATGATATTTTTGCATCTTTTAATTTAGCAACCGAATCAACGCTAACATTTGAAGAAGTCTTAGATTTATTTGACAAACATTTTATTCCACGGAGGAACTTAATTTTTGAAAGAGCAAAGTTTTTGAAGAGACAACAAAAAATTAATGAAACAGTTGAAGAGTTTATAGTTAGTCTCCATTCCTTGGCTAGAACCTGTGACTGGGGTTCACTTAATGATGAAATGGTGTTGATGGTACTAATACTGGGTTTAAATGATGAGAAACTTAGTGATCGCTTGTTGCTAGATCCCGAGATGAATTTAGACAAGGCCATTACAGTAATAAGACATGCAGATAACGTAAAGAAAGAGAAGGCAGATTTATGTGATGAGAAAAGAATTCAAATTGAAGCAACTACGTCATCGAGTTCAAACCAAAATCAAGGATATAGGTTTCGTCAAAAGAAACAAGAATACCCAGCGCAATGTATCTGGTGTGGTTATAAACCGTCCCATCCAAGAAGCACGTGTCCAGCAAAAAGCGCAACATGTAACTTATGCAAAAAGATTGGTCACTTTTCGAAGGTCTGCAGATCTAAAGAAGCACAGGAAGTAACTGACGAAAATGAAGTAAGTGAACTTGGACCTTCAAATAATAAAGTATTCATAGGTACACTTGGGGATGGGTCAAAATGTAAGCCCTGGAAACTAGAATTAGTATTTGAGGGAAAACCACAAACATTTAAAATTGATTCAGGGGCAGATGTAACAGTAATTCCCCCTGGCATAGTTGATCCAAGTAGGATCCAGCCGACTCTAGTTGAGTTGTTTGGGGCTGGTAGAACAAAATTAGAAACTGTAGGTTGTGTTAGAGCTAATATCCAATACAGAGATGTTAAAATAAATCACATGGTATACGTAGTGAAGGGACTCATAACACCCTTGCTTGGTCGTCCAGCAATACAGGACTTGAAGATTTTAACTTTTGTTAATTCAGTTGCAGAGGTAGACAGTGACTTTTTTACCGAATACCATGAAATGTTTAGTGGTCTGGGCGTCATTCCTGATCCCTACACAATAGCACTTAAGGATGGCGCAAAGCCATATGCAATAACCACTCCTAGGACAGTACCTTTACCCCTAATGTGTCAAGTGAAAAAAGAACTAGAAAGTATGGTACAAAATAATGTAATCACACCAGTTGAGCATGCTACTGAATGGTGCTCAGCAATGGTAGTAGTGCCTAAATCTAATGGTTATGTCCGCATATGTGTTGACTTAACAAAGTTGAATGAATCCATCCAGCGGTCTTATCATCCGATTCCCAAAATTGAAACGTCTCTCAGCTCAATCTCAGGAGCAAAATGGTTTTCAAAACTTGATGCAAACAGTGGTTTTTGGCAAGTCCCCTTAAATGTAAATTCCCAGGATCTAACTACTTTCCTTACCCCTTTTGGACGTTTTAAATTTCTCAAACTTCCATTTGGAATCACATCAGCACCTGAACATTTTCAGAAATGCATGAACAAAATCTTAGACAACCAATCAAATGTCGCAGTCCATATGGACGATATTCTGATTTGGGGCAAAACGAAAGAAGAACATGATACAGTTGTTCGGCAAGTACTTGAAAAGCTTAAAAATGTAGGAATGACACTTAACAAAGACAAAACTGAGTTTGGGAAGTCAAGTATTAAATTCCTCGGGCATTTCCTCTCATCCGATGGAATTTCTGTTGATAAGGAAAAGGTTTCCGCCATTCTCAAAATGGACTGCCCAAAAAACGTAAAAGAACTTCAAAGGTTCAATGGGATGGTAAACTTTCTTGGTAAGTTTATTCCTGACAAAGCTAAGATTTTGGCCCCAATGAATTCACTACTTCAAGCTAACGTTCCATGGATATGGGGTCCAGAGCAGGCGAAGGCATTTGATGAAATAAAACTCATTTTGACTAACTCTCCTTGCCTAGCCATTTACGATGTAAATCGGGAAACAATTATCTCCTGTGATGCCTCGCTTCAAGGACTAGGATCAACTCTTTCTCAAGTTCAAGATGATGGTTCTATACGACCAGTATCATTTGCATCCCGAAGCCTTCTTCCTTCTGAAAAAAACTATGCAAACATCGAGAGGGAGGCTACAGCTGTTGCTTGGGCATGTGAAAAGTTTCAAGAATTTATTATTGGCAAGAGAATAACAATACAAACAGATCACAAACCACTACTTCAAATTTTGAAATCCAAACATCTTGATGAATTGTCTCCAAGAATTCAAAGAATTCGATTGCGTCTCATGAGATATGATTTTTCAATTACTTATATTCCTGGAAAGCAGCTTCTAGTTCCTGATGCTCTTTCAAGAGCACCTCTCCCATTTTCAGGTACTGATGACCGTGAGTTAGAAGAAGAAACTCAAGCGTTTGTTCAAATGGTTTTGTCGTCCATCGATATAAACGACTGCATAGTTGCTAAAGTATTGGAGGAACAAAATAAAGATCCGACTTTACGTGAACTGAAAAAAATAATCATCCAAGGTTGGCCTTCTAATACATCATTACGAGATGACCTAAAACCGTATAATTCAGTTAAGGATGAGCTAAGTGTGGATAATGAGATGATACTACGAGGTTCAAGACTTGTAATTCCGCCAGCTCTGCAGTCTTGGGCACTTCAAAGAGTACATGAAGGTCATTTTGGAATCACCAAGTGTAGTTTACGTGCAAAAGAGTCAGTCTGGTGGCCAGGAATTTCTTCAGCCATTGAATGTATGGTGAAATCATGCCCTACTTGTATTAAACATTCAAGGAACAGTCATGAACCATTGCTTCCCACACAATTCCCTGACAGGCTATGGAAAACACTTGCGATGGATTTGTTCAAACTTGAAGGCGTTTGGTTTTTGACTGTGACAGATTATTACTCCAGATATTTTGAGATAGCTGAATTAGAGTCATTAACATCACGAGAAGTAATAATGAGATGCAAAGCCTTTTTCTGTCGACATGGCATTCCAGAAGAAATTAGGTCTGACTGTGGGTCTCAATTTCAAGTCCTTGAATATTCAGATTTCAAGACATTTTCCAAAGTTTATGGCTTCAAGCATGTAACAAGTAGCCCAAAATTTTCCCAAAGCAATGGAGAGGCTGAAGCGGCAGTGAAAATCGCCAAAATGATTCTAAAGAAAAATGTGGAAGACCCTTATTTAGCGCTTCTAGCCTATCGAACGACACCCCTCTGGAATGGGTTCAGTCCCTCTCAGCTTCTTATGAACAGGCGATTACGGAGCACATTGCCTCAGACAGGACATTTGCTTTGTGGAAAACCAGATCTAAAGGATCTTAAAGGGAGAGAAGAAACATATCGTGAGAAGTACAAACACAACTATGATAGAAGGCACAAAGTGCAAACTCTCAATCCTCTTCATATAGGGGACCCAGTTTGGATTGTGGACCTTAGAAGACATGGCAAAATTGTGAAAATCCTGGACAGCCCTCGTTCATATATTGTTGAAACTGATAAGAGGAATGTGAGAAGAAATCGATTCCACCTCAAACTTGCCCCTTATTTAAGAGAGGAAAACAGTGAACAAAATTTGTCAGCAAATACACATCAAACAGAACCATACAACCGTCCAAAGAGAAATATACAAAAACCAAGCTGGTTGAAGAACTTTCAAACTTAAAAGGGAGGATGTTGTGAGAATAGTTTATTTCATAACACCTGTTAATTTCTATTAATTATTATCATATGTTTATTTGTTATTCTATGTTTGTAAAAAGGTAAATAAAGTGAGTTGAGTTTGAGTTATGACATAAAACAGTGCATTCACTTAATTCTTAGTAAAATATTACAGAATCCTAGTCAGGTCCTGGACTATATGGACTTATTTATAGGTAAGCCTGCTTTCCTGTCAATTTCCTTAATACTATTGTAACTAATAAATTAAAATTATATATTATTTTATTATTATTGTGTGTCCTCAGAATCATATCCCTACAAGTGTGCAAAATTTCAGCAATTTTTGTCAACTATTAATGTTGTTTATAATCTTGTAATTTTCGCCCCTTTTAATGCGAACTGAGCTCGTGGACCTTGGCTTCAGGCTGTAGGACGGACAAAGATGGCGGATTTTCAGTGCAATGGCTTAAACGCTAGGTGCTCTCTATTTTATTATGTACTCGCTGCCTGAACACTATCAGATTACAGCAGTAGGTCGGAAGCAAAGGTTGGATAAGTCAAGACATGATTATTAATTTTCTTGTGTCTTGCTAATTGCTAGAAATCTTTATGGGGAACTTTATGAGGACAGTTAACAGTTTGCCCAGTCTTTCTCTTGGAATCGTACATAGAATGAATTAAGTAGGCTGGGTTAAGAGTCGCTTGGCTTTAGACATAGTGTTGTCTAACCATCACTTGAACAGATAGGTTGTTTGTGTAGCCTAAAAACAAGATTAAATTTTCACTTTTCAGGGTAAAGTCCAGTACATGAGTAGAATAAGTATGGAGTCAACTCGATACGATTTGACTCTATGCTTAAAGGGTACAGTACTCGACTTGTGTCAAACATTTTAAAACATATTTCATTACTCTGCCAGTGCTGGAGTTCTCCTTGGTGGTGTTGGGCTCTTTGATGTAGATGTTCCATGTAGCCTGACTGTTGAAGCTCTTGTCAGCTGCATAGCACCGCCAAAGACACTGGATCAACATGGCCGCTGCGGGGATCTGCCGGTTGAAGTGCTTCTGTCTTTGTTTCTGCTGCACTTTGAGGGCAAACCCCGACCCCAGAATACCCTGAAAGCAACCATAACAATGACAAACATTACAAATTAATCTTAATTATAAACAGAAGATGGTGTACCAAGTAGAAAGAGCACTCAGGTATAAACAAACTGTTATCTCTGAACTTATAAACACTATCTCGTTACGCCTATAGCCTTGTACTCTTTATTAAATAAATTTCAATTCTGCTCATTTCCATACGATTATTATTTATTAAGTTTATTTTTATGTGGTTTTGACTGTTGTTACATGGGTGCTAAGCAAATCAATGTAAACGCTAGATTGATACAGATACTCAGTCCCTAAAACTATAAGAATTCCATGGATTTAATCTACGTATTTTGTACGGGTTTGCTAGTACTCGAGTGGTCGAGTTTTCGAGTGAGTTCTTCAACTCGGCTTGACTCAAGCTTTTTAATGGGTTTTCCTTAAGCATTTATATTTGTATACAAGGCTGCAGGATCCTTGCTTTAACGAGTTATTTTATAAATCTTACTGATAACAGTGATAACTGATATTAAATTCTTGAATAAATTGGCTAAAAATGAGAATAGAAATATAACTTGCTTTGCTTGGATACGGCAGGGTCAAGATCTACGTGTAAGTTACTTTATAGATCTGAAAAAAATTACGTAAGGTTAAGCATGTATTTTTAAGGTTAAAATATGGAGGAATACTTTTTTGTTGTTGTGCAGTTTATTTGCACTTGCTATTTTTAAACGTAGCCATAAGTATAAAAAACTGTATGTAAAACCGTATGTAACACCAGGTGGTGCTCTGTTTTCAGCAATAAAAATAGCTGCGACATTTATTTAAGTGTAGCATCATTATGGAGAGGAAAGTCCCTTCTTTTGTCTCTTACTATGCACATGAATCTCACTTGACTCCTCGGACACATTTCCTACACATTTCTGCCACAATTTTAAAAGATCAGGCAAATAGGTTGGCAATGTGAATCGATGAATTGATTGTCCAATGAATTGATTCAGTTTTGATTATTTCCATTTCCTGATTCTTGGTTTTTTATTTAGATAATGATCCAAGATATGCAAATCTGTAAATTATTAATTTAAGATAGATTTAGTTGACACCATTCAATGTACAACACTGTACTTTATGAATAAAGCATATTTGATTTGATTTGATTTGATTTGAATGTGACCCTATTCCCGCATATTTTTCATGGCATTTTTTGTTTGAATTGTGTTTGATGCGCCGTTGGGTTCCAGTGCGAAAGTCGTACTCAACTATACATCTGTGCGTGTTCAGGATGACCTTCTTAAGGAATTAGATTACCTACTCGGAGGTAAAACGTGTCATGGATCTTTAAATTGTAGGTCCCCTGTGTGATCCTCTCATCTAAATGAGCTTCAGATCTGACCATGGCAAAGGCAAAATTGAATTGACAAATTTTATCCAAATAATTTCTAGATGTAAACATTGCAGTCCTGTTTTCAGATTGGGAGTTTCCAATAAGTTCCTGAAAGTATGGTGAATTCCGCAGATGAGGTAACTTAAACAGTTCTTTCATTTATGGTAAAAAAGAGTAAAAATTGAACTATTTCGGCCAGTCTTTTCTTTGCTTAAAATGTAAGCCACCACAATGTAAACATTTTACGTTCATTTGTCTGAGGAGTATCCATGATGTATCACCACGGTGGTACTGCCACTCTGTATCCTTCAAACGTCCTATTGGTAGGTTGATGCAAGCGGTCACGTCCGTGTTTTCTCCAGCCACTCACAGTTCTTCGTCTTACTGGTGGCTTAATTTTAAATTTAGATAAAATACGTAAGTTAACCAAACAACAGAAAACACTACAACGGAATTTTGATATACACTGTAAATTAGACGATATGGTAATGTAACAGGAACAGGTGAGTAACTGCACTGTGAATAATCACTTTTAAACATTCACTTCATCACACCAAACTGTAACCAAAACTACATGATAATTCAGTAAAATACGTTGTAAGGTAAGTATATTTTACCTGTAACACCATTGTATTTCTTGAAGAAATCACAAATAAAGGAAATTGTCTATTGTCTAATTCAAATATTAGGCTACAAACAATAGTTTATCAAGTTTTGATAGGAAACTATTTTATGAACCAGACTTATTTAACAGATGTTTAAATAAAAATATAAATTCCGGCTTTGCTCTGGAAGTAATAAGTCCTGCAGTCTGTGGTTAACTTTAAAAACTATTTCAAACTATGCCCTTATGTTTGTTGTAAACAAAGGTAATTGAGTTTGATCTTAATGTCAACCGTTCCCAAACTTAAGCTCTTAACTGTATTTAGCTGATGCCCTTTCTTAATATTCTGAGATGTATTTGCACATCTACGAGAAAATATAATAAATTCGGCACCTCAAATGATAAAATCTGCCAAGCCGTTATCGAGTTATGACTGTGAAAAGAAAACTGCTTGTGTATTAATATATAGAAGATGATTAAATTACTTACAGCTGGTAGTGCGAAAAATGAAATTGCAAACACACTGAAGCAGGAGGCAACAATCTTCCCCATCCACGTTTGAGGAACTGCGTCCCCATAGCCAATAGTGGTGACTGTGATCTGAAATAGCATACACTCTTAAATAATTTAAGAAATATTGGTTTTCTCTTGTACAATTAAGTGCACATATTATTTGTATATATTGGGATAGCATTTCTGAAAGTGTAATGCATAGGATTAACATTAATCTTACAGTTTAACTTAATGTTTTCATAACTATTTGATTGGGTTACTGTTGTCTTTTAAAACTTAAATGTACGGTACTTACACAATAACAAATTAAAAGGTTATTTAAACATACACAACAATTTACAAAGACTGCTGCTGGTTGGATGTGCAGGGTAACTGTTCTTAAAAAAAGCTATAGCCTACTACACCAATATTCTGACTGATTTTGACCTGTGAAAGTCCAGCCAACTGTAGTTTTTTTTTTTAAATTTAATCAACTCAAACCACAAATTATTGCTGCTAAATGTAAGATATAAAGTATTCCCATATTTATTTCCGACAGCACACCAAATGAATGGAAGATGAACATGGTGAACATAGCAGTGTATCCATGATTTTACATTGATTTAAGTATAGGTAGGCCTACTAATTTTGATAACCCTCCTAACAGTTCATGAACACTAAAACATAAATTCTCACAAAATAAAAGTTATTTGTAATCGCAGTCAAGGTAAGAATAAGTAGCAAAATGCCTGGATTTGAAATGCGACCCACAAAGAATCCATTTATTCTGTTAACATCCACTTGTTTATTTTAGAGGGTCCAAGCTTAAAGGACCCTTAAGCTGAGTTACGGCATAGACAAATAAATACCCCCGCTGCAGCAAACCTGCAGACTAAGCGAATTTCCATTTGACTGATTGGATTTACACTGAAATGTCTACTTAAAAATATAACATTTATTCCAGATTTAAATAGAACTAGTTTAACAAGTACTTAGGTTTGCTGCATCAGGGAGGGTAAAACTGTTTTTTGTCAAATGTGAATAGTTAGTAAGAAATAAAATCATTTTCCAAATTTGATCAAAATATGTTCACAAAAAAGCAAACTACAACAGTTTACTTATTCTCCATAAGAATAACATGGGAATTTTAAATTTACAATTTTTTGGAATTTTCTCCGTAACCATTAGGCGCATAAAAACGCTTCAATATACTAAATTACTTGTTTTTTTAAGCTCTACAAAATGGTTTGGAAAGAAATTGCTAAATTTGATGTTTTTTGGGTCAAAAATGGGAAAAACCTATTTTTACCCCATAAAACCCCCCGTAAACCCCCATTCCCATGGTCCGATCATGCTGGTTCGCGAACTCGTTCGAATAAACGTACGTTTACACGTTTGTACCAAATTTCATCAAAATCGGATCATTTTTGCTCGAGTTATCGTGCTGACGGACACATATATATATATATATATATATGAATTTGAACGGATGGTGTTTTTGGCCTCTAGGGACCTCAAAACGGAAAAAAAAATCGGTCCCGCGTCCAGGTCTTACCATGAGTACTACGGTAATAGCTTATTCCCTATATGGGAAATTCGCTAAAAGAAATAAATATAGACCGTCAGCTGTGCTGCGGTTACCATAGCTTCTGGCGCACACCGCTTGGAGCGCCATGTAGTTACGCGCTACGTAAACTACAGCGGTGTGCGCCGGAACCTATGGTAACCATGGTAACCGCAGCACGGCTGACAGTCTATATTTAATTCTTTTTGTCTATGGTTACGGACAGAAGCACTTATGAGTTGCTTACAAGACCTGATCGAATTGTGATTTTGATCTATGATATTGCTGTTGTCAGCTTAGAGAACCAAAACCTCGAAAAACTCAGCCACTGATCATACCCAATGGCCAACCATTCAGTATTGTTTTCAAACCTGGATTGAATGCCATTGGCATTTTTACGTACTTTTTAAGCAAACAGTTCAAATCCTGGTCTTATTAGACCTAGCCCTACTACCTAAGTAAGCTTTTTATGGGCTTACTTAATTAATATTTATACAAAGTAAGTTAGTAAGTGATTCATAATACTATTTAGAGATTTAAGGTGTTTGTTCGTATCCTGTGTATATAAGTAAGTATTTCTTAAATGTAAGATTTTAATTTAAAACGATGACATATTTATTGACATTGCTTCAGCTACCAAAAGTTAACTTATGTTTCAAACTTACAACTCCCCACCACAGTGCGTCTGCGTAGCTTGCAAAATCACCCGTTTTCCCGTCAGGACCAAGAGCATCTTTTTCTGCGAGGTACACAAAGTAACTGCTGAATATGAGACCCAGGAACCCTATGTAGAGAGTCGTAATCAACTCCTAAAACACAAGATAAAATATAAATAGCTGGCCAGTTGTTTGTATATAGATAGCTTGATACTTGTAGGCCTAGTCATTCAAGTCACACACTGCAGCCTGTAAACTGGTAGTGAGTTACGGTACCACAGATAAGTAAGATCCAGAGGAAACAAGCTTATGGGACAACCATGTGCTTTTAGCTCTGGTATGTTGGGGCGGAAATGTACTAAATGGTACCAAGCAAGGAAACGCCCGAACAGCGAAGGCCATCATAGCATATTTGCATCAGCAGTTGTAGAGCACAGGGTGATGGCGAGGGGGAAAGGAGAGCGGAAGGGGGCGGCGAATAGAATTTGCTCTAGACACCAGCAACTAGTGCTAGACATCACTTAACCATTAAGCACGTGCTTGTTTTTTACGCTGGAGGGCAGGTGGGGGTCCGATAATATCTATATTCATTTTATCATATTGTTACCTAAATTGTATTATCCTACCATATCCTTTAACTATTTTGAAAATTGAAGGTTGGACCCTTAATTTTTCATGATGATTTCATCAATAATGGCGTGGAAGAGGGGAAAATCATAGTTAAACATGTTTTTATTGCAAACAAATATTATTCTTAATTTTACAAAAGTATAATAGGGACTACTTGTAAAAAACCATAGAAGCAGTAAATATATAATGAACTAATATATTTCCTGGTGTGTATAAAATAGGCTACTAAACAAAAATAGAATATAAATTTAACAAGAACAAGAACAATAATAGAAATTTAATACTTTCTTTGGTAATGTATGTTTTTCTTTTAAAATCCACGTCCAGTAGTTGGTTTAGAAGTCCTTTTAAACACACTTCACAAATATTTTACATTTGTCCGTGGCACATTAGTTTTTTTGGTACTTTGGTATTATCCGGAGGCAACCTTTATACAGCCCACTGCGGCGGTTATGTTAGGTTAGGTTATCATAAATGGAAAGAACATACTTTAATTGACTTAATGTCCAAATTTGACATGATTACAATTAGCGGCCTTTGAGTTCTGCCTCCCAGAAAGCAGCGATGTCGGCGAGGATTGAGTTGAATGCGTTGCCGCTGCTGTTGAATGATAGCCACACCAGATACAGGCGGTGGCAGGCGATGCTCCAGTCAAAGACCTCACCTTGGCCTACTTGGACGGGATTTTGGGGGCGAAAGAGAAAGTATGACTCATCTGGTATTGTTTGATTCATAATGAAACGAGGGAAGTCCTACAAACATATTAATGATAACCTAACCTAACATAACCGCCGCAGTGCACTGTATAAGGGTGTCTTCCGGATAATACCAAAGTACTATTTTTTTAGGTTTTACACTTAAATTTGGTCTTGGTGCGTATTTTTTATGGCAGACGGTGCACCGCGCCTCTTTACTGGGAGGCTAACGGTGCACCGCGCCTCTTTACTGGGAGGCTAGATCAGTGGACTCTATGGTTGGACATTTACATCCAATTGGTTTACAGATACAAACTTTCAATACTATCAAAATTACGATTTAAAAAAATGATAATAATTAGAACTGAGATAATAAGATCCAATTGTTGCTGAGGTACGAAGTAGAAGGATAAGATGGGCCAGATATATCTTAAGAAAAGAAGACAACTCATTACCAAAGAAAGTGTTAGAGAACAATCCAGAAGGAATAAGCCTAGACCGAAACTGAGATGGTGGGGCCAAGTTGAAAAGGACATTAGAGAACTGGGAAGAAGGAAGGAGGGCGCAAGTTGCAGAGTGGAGGCAGTGTGTTGGGGAGGCCAAGTGCCATTTGGGGTACCAGTGGCCACAGCAGTACCTAAGTAAGTTAGGTTAGGTAAGTAAGTAATTATGATAATAAAACTGAGACACTACTACGCGCACAGGGGTACACTAGACAATCTTGATACACGTGATAAAGTATGTGAATGAAATAAACCCCCCAAGAAACCAAGACCTGCACCACTACAACACCCGTCATGGCTCCAAATTTGCCCTACCAGATCACCGAACAACTCTTTGGGAGAAAAAAACCTTCCTACACTGGCTACAAACTGAGGAACCATCTAACTGACTACCTGAGAAACCTGACTGGCAACATGCTACATCAGGAGTTGAAGAAGTGGCTAATCGCAAGACCCTTCTACTCAATAAAGGAATTTTATGAAAATTATGGAAATTAACACGTACAATTCACTATTGTATTGACACTATTGTAATTCTTAACGAATGAACAATAAAGTATATTGTATAGTATTGTATTGTATTGTATTATACTGTAGACCCCCAATGAACACAATACTGGTAACACAAGCAAGCGCATGGAGTTATGCCAGACCCAGGGTGGTGATAACAGGTCAATGACTCGGTCAAGACTAACAACCCTGCAGCCAGGTGATAGCATATGCTATTTTAGACAGCTACTGTTATACTTACCAGGGTTACCATACAAAATTACCATACGTGAAGGTATGTCATACCCCTGCGCGCATGTTTAAGTGTTAAATTAAGTGTACCATTTTAATGTATGCAAGTTATCTTTTGTTTCTTACGGTACTTCTCTGTGTAGCTAATACAATAAGACAAACCTTCCTAATTTTGGAGGGATGGTATGCCTACAGTAGGCTACTAACTTTTTGGATAGTCACATATTTAATACTGAAGAAACTGACGCGATAGTGACCAGGATCTGCCACGACAAACTCGGCATAGACATTCCAGTGGAAGCTATTTCACGATCACACCGTGTCGGCAAACGCGGGTCGACAGATGAGGAGGGAAGGCCGCGCCATCGTCCCATCATCGTCCAATTTACATCGTACCGAACTAGGCGGATGGTGTTCGACTCGAAGAAGAAGCTCAAGGGGACTGGCGTAGTCATTAAAGAGGACCTTACACATCGCCGTCAAGATCTGTACAGAAGAGTGGTGTCGCGGTACGGAAGCAAGAACGTCTGGACCATGGACGGCAGAATACTGTGGATAGACAACGGTGCTAAGAAAGTAGCGACGAGATTGGTGGACCTCCCGACTGACCTTCAAAACGACACTACTATTGTTACAGATAAGAACTAGTTTATGTTTAGCATTAAACTGTTTTATTTATTACTCATGCACACAAATTTTTAATGATAAATTCTTGTTTGTTTTTTGCAATTCAAATAATAACAAAAAATGTACATAATTGATAAGGGGTTCATTATTTTTTTTTCTGTTTTAATTAACAATAAATTATAAGAGCATGATCAAAGTAAAAAAGATACAATATAATTTTACAAATCTCTGAACGGATGAAAGTAGGATATTTATTTGTTGTTTAAAATCTCTCGTTTTACTTAAATAATTTATTCACCAAAACTTTTTTATTTTTTGTTAAATTATATAACTATGCCAAACTGTTTCATGGTCCTACTGTATTTTTATTAGCATCATATGCAAATGCCAAAAAGATTACCTTGTGTCTAAAGTATAAATTTATTGTCACATTTAAATATTATGAAAATGTCTTAATTTTATTATTTATCTAATTTAATTTTAGGAATGAGTTTAGTTTTTTTTTGCATTTTTAGTTTCTTTAGAATGGTTACAGTTCAAACCAAAGCATTAATAATTTATTTGCTTTCATTATATAAAAAAACATACGCATTTTGGTTGTAAATTATTAATTTTCTTTTTAGCACTAAACAATGACAAGAATAGCTTAACTCATCTTGTTGCGGAGCCAAATACAATGTACGAGTGAAGTACGTAATTAAATTGATTATTAGTTATGTTTTTAGTTAAGTATTTAGTTTCATGTATTTATTTTTGTAATGGAGATTATTGTTTTTTTAGATTTGTGAATTTAGATGTGAATGTGTGTGTGAATGAGTCAGAAATTGCGTTACGTGCTTGTGTCCGGGATGTGCCTGTCGTGGTGCTACAGCTCGTGGACCCGGGATAGAGAGTCCACGTCCTCATAGTGCTCGTCACACCGACCGGCTTATCACTCCCCCCTCACCCTTCCCCCAGCACCCACTATCAACCGCTGACTATCTCTCTCACTCCTTATCTCCTTACCCCAAGAAGCTAAAGGCGGCGCATATCAATGCTCAGTCATTGCGTGCTCATATTGATGAGGTGCGTGAGATTTTTCAACATAGAGATTTTGACTTGATTGCGGTGTCTGAGTCCTGGCTGAAACCGAGTATCCCGACGGCCGAGGTGTCCCTTCCGCGATATATTCTGCATCGAAATGACAGGACGGGAAAGCAGGGTGGAGGAGTTGCGGTGTATGTCAGGGAGGGACTAAAATGTTCATCTGTCAACTCGTCGCCTTCGGAGTACTCGGCAAAGCCAGAATTCTTATTCATAGATATTAGTTTGTCTGGGGCAGATTCCTTGCTGCTGGGAGTGTGTTATCGCCCTCCTAGAGTTGGACAGCTGCTAGACTTTGAGAATGCACTCTTGCACCTAATGTTTAGATATAGTCATGTCTTGATCATGGGTGACTTTAACACAAATTTACTACAAACGAACCAGAACTATGAATACAGACATCTGACTACATTATTTGATTCATGCAACTTAAGTATACTCCAACTTGGACCTACGCATCATGCTGCCGAGTCTGACACACTCCTCGACCTAATAGTTGTTTCTGATCCACAAGAAATTTTACATCATGGGCAGCTTCCCGTTCCAGCAGTATCCCAACATGACCTTATCTACTGTGTGTATTCGGTTAAAGCTCCTAAACCCAAGACAAAATTCGTTAAGTATAGAGATTTCAAGAACATGAATGAGGCACAGTTTATGTTGGACGTACAGCAAATACCATGGCACACCATCGAAAATCTTGACTCTGTTGATTTAATGGTCTGTGAGCTTAATAGTACCATAAATGATCTCCTTGATAAACATGCACCTATAATTACAAAACGTTTAACAAAACTGCAACCTGTACCATGGATGACGCCTGAGATACGCTCTTTGATGGCCAGACGTGACTGTCTTTATCGGAGAGCAAGAC